CTGCGATGAACACCCTACAGCCCTGTCGGTACATATTCCATGTGAGTTACAATGTAAGTTGTACATTTTTAATTCTACTTGTTATCTCCTGAAATACATATCTAGTGTCCATAGAAATGCCTTACTGTGATGTGAGATACATATTCAATGGCATCTTCCTTTTACAAAATCAACTATGACGCACTGACAAAAAATTTACTAAAAAATGTTCACTTTTCTTTCCAAAATTTTACCCTAAAATTATACTGTCTACTATCTCTATAGGCATAAGTAGACTTCGCTATACCCTACATTTCTAACTCCAATGAAGACCCTACAGCCCTGTCAGTACATGTAGATGTAAGATGGACCAGCCCCCGGTACATATTCGATGTGAGTTAAGTCCACGTCTGCTGATAATGACCGTGGAATTAAGGCTGGAGGACCGACGCTTTAAGCCACGCGTTCGGCTCAATTGGGCCGCGGCAGTTCCATTAATTTCCCCCGTCCCTGAATATTTCATCCAAAGTGCTCTGATGAACCCCAGCCACTTAAAACTTTCAGAACTTTCATACTAGTATGTAGATATATCATATAATATTACTGTGTATGGGGTGGGCAGATTCAATGCAAGGCCTGTGTTTGGGTTAACTTCAATCAACGTATTGCAAACACAAGATGCACATTTGTTGTGGCTGATTTGAGTAGCTTGTTATGATAGGATGTTTTGGCACATGTTTTTCTCACAAAAATTTGAAGGATTTTCCAATTTTCGGGTATCGAAGATGGATAGTCATGTCTTATTTTGACTTTAAAGATGAGCCACTAAGCAAGATACTTATAGGTAGAGCCAAAAATGTCTATAAAATGTTAAACGGACAATAGACATGATTTAGACATTGCTGAACAAAGGCCAGTTGGGAGAGCATTAAGTAGACATAGTTACTGAAAAAGGACATCGAAATAACCCAAGGTGGACATTTTATATCCATAGTCTCTTCACGCGAGCAAGTCCTCAAAGACCCTGTAAAGCCCCTGTTCAGACATTCTTAGAAATGTTTGAAAAATGTCCGGAATTTTCGAGAATGTCCAAAAAGGGTCTATTGTCCGTTTAACATTTTATAGACATTTTCGACTCTACCAGTGATTACATGTAGTGTTAATCTAAAATAATGTATCTTATCTTGTCATACTCACACACTTGTCAAAGAAAGAAAGAAACCATCCTTTAATAAGAATACACATTGTATGGTGGTTGTTATGTAGTAGAGGGTACCATATGTTGCACTACATGTACATGTACCTTCTACAATTATTGCCATACAAAAAAATTAATTTATTCCTTTGTCAAATATTCCAGAACGATGTACAGTGGTACTCTGCGACACGATCTTTAATATTCCACCAGTGTCATCCACCTTGCGCAAAACAAAACTATTACCCAGAAAACTTTTCTGAATTGGGCAGGGAAATTTTACCATCGGTCACCTTGCGCATCTCCGGTTTTCATTCTCCCGAGCGAATATATCTCACCCAGGGGTAAATACCTGGTGCCGGGAGAGACCTTAAGCACGGGCGGAATAATTAATCCAGACAAAGTGCTCATTACGGAGGGAAGAGAGCCTCTGCGCACGGGGGTCAAGAGGTCAATCCGCCCCACTCCGTGACCTTGGGTCAGCTAATTAGAGCCGGGGCTTCTCGGCGGACCATATGCTCTGATGACATTCCGCCGCGCGGCCCCTCTAATGACGGGGCAGGAAGATGTGGCGTCATGCAACATTTGCGCGCGGGGCCGGCGCATTTAAGGCGCGGTGACGGAGGGGGGGTGAGCGGCGGTGTCAGGAACTTGATCGGAATAAGTCGGGACGGGTGCATTAAAGCGGCAGAAGCGGCCGGTAATGAATATGTCGTCCGAGCCCATCACTCAGGCCGCAAAGTACCTGCCGTCACCTCCGCCTTGGCAGCCTCTCAACGCACACAAATCCTCATCAAAACCGACCCAACAGATTTCACATTGTCCAGTCTTCGAAAATGCATCTCTGCAGATTTCAGAACAGCCAATTTCACATGTCCACTGTCCTGGATCTTGTCCTTTTACCAAGAAACTTGACATTTTCTACATGTAATACAAACGTAAGCTACTAGTATTGCCAAGCCTTGGCAGCCTCTCAACGCACACAAATCCTCATCAAAACCGCCCCAACTACGCAGATTTCACAACAGACAATCTCACAATGTCCAGATTTCACATTGTCCACTGTCCTGGGATGCAGTTTTCTTCTCAATCCACCAAAAACTTATAAAAAATGCAGCAGAATCTTGTCATTTTACCAAGAAACTAAAAGTATTTCCTGTAAATATAAGCTACTATTGTCTCTGCTAAGCTTTGGCAGCCTCTCAACACACACAAATCCTCATCAAAACCGCCCTGCACCCATCTTCACAGATTTCACAACAGCCAATTTCACATCACTCCACTGTCCTGAAATCTTGTCATTTTAACAAGGAACTAAACATTTTATACAAATATAAGCTACTATTGCCAAGCCTTGGCAGCCTCACAACACACACAAATCCTCATCAAAACCACCCCATCCTCATGATTTCACAACAGCCAATTTCACAATGTCCACTGTCCTGGATTGCAGCAGAATCTTGACATTTTACCAAGAAACTAAACATTTTCTATGAACATAAGCTGCTATTGCCAAAGCTTTGGCAGCCTCTCAAAGCACACAAATCCAATCAAAACTGCCAGCAGATTTCACAAAACCCACTCTTCAAAAATGCAGTAAAATCTTGTCATTTGACCAAGAAACTTAATACATTCTGCGCACATCTGCAACTACGTATCAGCTTAGCTCTCACAGAATTCACTATTAACATCAACACTAAGTCTTGAATATTCAAAATCCAGTCCTAAATGCAACCTGCTTTCTTCTCTCAGAATGATGACACATGTACAAAGAGTACCCAAATTCCACAGGGCCCATTGTTAACAGAACTATTGAATATTTCTCTTCCTTGCTGTCCCTCTCATCTTTTCATACACCCACGTTAAAGAACCCACCATACTTATCGAAAAGAGTAGGGGACCTTCCCGGTGTGAGTGGTTCAAACCTTACAGTCTGGTCTCAGGTTTGACATCTTGAAGAGGTGATAGTCACCTGTTATGTCAATCCTTCCACAAATGTAAATAAAAAATAAAATAAAATAAAAAATACAACAACCTAGATTACCTTTCTCTCTGTGATGTCAGACTTAATCTTGTAAAAAAAAATAGCAGAAGCAAAAATGTGATGAATACGTTTTTGCATGATTGTCGGCAAAAGCCATCAGTGGACCAGCAGCAAGCAAAGTACTTCCTGACACTTTGGGCACGGCACTTGGCACTTTTTCAAGCCACACAAATTATCTCCATGATCAAAGAGATGAGCCTGGGTCATCAACATTCATTCTGGACAGGACAGGACATTACATCGGACCATCCTCGCATAACAAAATGCACCCATCTTTTCATGAGATCAAGGAATTTAATTTCTTTTTTGAAGATCGATGTCGGCCATATTATTGACTCAAATATGCTTCTGCAAATCAGCTTAAGGTGTCTGTGTTATGAAAACATTCCTTCTGCAATGAAGGAGAAATGTCACTCCAAAATATTGTTGTTGCATACATGTTATATTTCTCTCCTGTTTGGAGCCACGCCCTCATGGCAATATAAACATAAACAAATAAATAAAATAAACAAATATTGTGGGTAGAGTGCTTCTGTTATATCCCAGTTGGAATCTGTCCAATATACATGTAACTGTCAACAATCAACTAGCAGCATCCAACAAACAGTTGTGCAAAGCCATCCTAGATACCCAACTCTCTCCCCACAGAAAATACACTCGTGGAACACTTCATATACATCCCTACTGTCACTCCTAAATGTCAATCAAACTTGAGTCTCTCTTTTCCACTGAGAGCAGTTCTGTGACCCTAACAGTGTGTCAGTCCATCTAACCCTACTCTCGCTCTCTCACAGAAAATACACCAAACTCTAGAGGAGTGCTGTCACACATACATTGTCAATCAAACTTGATGCTCTACTTTCTACTGAGAGCAGTCCTGTGACTCTTACAGTGTGTGAGTCCATCCTATCCTTCCCAAAGAAAATACACCGAACCCTAGCGGAACCCTGTACAGCCCATCCCTGCTGTTACACATACATGTACATGTCAATCAAACGCGAGCCTCTACTTTCTACACAGAGCTGCCCCGTGACCCCAACAGTGTGTGAGTCCATCCAATCCTTCTTTCTCTTATAGACCCTACAACAATCCCTGATAGGACCCTCTACTATATAGCCCATCCCTGCTGTCGCACATACATGTACATGTCAATCAAACTTGAGCCTCTCCCGCTACACAGAGTCCATCCAACCCTCTCTCACAGAAAACACACCAAACCCTAGCGGTGCCCTGTACAGCCCATCCCTGCTCTCACACAAACACTGTACATGTCAATCAAACTTGATCCTCTACTTTCGAACTGAGAACAGTCCTCTGACCCCAACAGTCTGAGTTTATCCTATCGTACCCTTGCTCATGGAACGCACAACAAGCCCTCTACCATACAAGCCCATTCCTGCTGTCACACATACATGTACATGTCAATCAAACTCAAGCCTCTCCCTGCTACACGGAGCTGCCCCGTGACCCTGACAGTGTGCTAGTCCGAGTGCGACCCACTTCCGCGGGGAGGAATGTCAGGCTTGTGCCAAAATTACCGCCCCGCCGACAACCCGGCCATCTCCGCCTGCCAATCAATATGCGTCCCGTACGACCAAGGTCACGCAGGGGTCAGGTCGGGTCGTGCGGACCTTAGGGTTCCGAGCGCGCTCCGTATGAGCGCCGGCATCTGTCAGCGAGAGGGGACGTCAAGGGGATGGCGGGGATTTGTCGTGGACAAAACGGTGCAAATCGGTTTCGTGTTTTGTGTTGTGCGGACAAAAAAACATAACAACAACGTACCTTCACAGGTGTGGGGCTTGTCTGTAGCAGGTGCAGTACCGTCTCCATCCTTGTGGGGGCGCTGCTCGTCTTTTGCTTCTGGATGGTCCCTGTCTTTCCCCTCGGTCTGGAAAAAAAGGAGACAGGAAGTTAGAAATCTCTTAGCAGCAAAAATCTTAACTTGTTTAAGATTTTCCCCTGGGGTACAACTTTGAAGTATTCGATCAAAACTGATTTTGTGTCAGCCTCTTTCATCTTAGTATTTGTAGGGCTAAAAATACCTTATGTCGAGTGGATATACTAGCTGAAACGTCTGACCGTTTCCAAAATCATATCCAGTTGCTTGAGTAACTGCTTTTTGGCGTAAAAATGCCTTACATGTACTTTTATACTACCGCATAGTATCTTTGACTCTGTAAAAGCAATTAGCCTTCAGGCATGATTTTCCAAATAAAGAATTTTATAATCTATTATATTATTGCTTCCATTTCCATGTAAAATTTGGCACACAGAATGGATCCTTCAAGCTGGATTTTTTTTTTTTTTTTGGAAGGACGCTTGGAAACAAAAATGGTGCCTGCAGTGATGACAATCAAGGAATTAAATTGCCGAGGCCTCAATCAAAATCCTTGTCCAAAACAAGCCACATCCCTCACATAACCAGGAACTACGGACTTTGAAGTCGTGATAAAATCGCTGATGTGAGCCATTGCATAACGGCATGTGTGTACATGTATATACAAACATGCACACACACATACATATCACACAGTACCCTAATCAGTCTGCGCCACTATTTGCATTAAATATTTCTGACATTTTAATAGCATGGCTGCCTCTGCGGGCAGTTCTAGCTGGGGTTTGCCAACAACCAACGGGAGATTTCCATATGCAGATCAGCCGAGGCGAGATTCAAGCCAAAAATAGTTTTAATACGAGGCTGACCTTTTGGGTGGAATGCAGAACATGTTCATTACTGGACTCGAGTCCCAGGACTTTATTGGAAGGGTCCCAATAAACATAGATCCTGTAATGCTTACAGGATGTTAGCAGTATGGCACTGTAGCCACTGTGTGTGGAGTATAGTACACTGTCCAAATAGCAGCTCTAACATTGCTGGACATTCACTTTGAATGTAGTATATTGCTAGCCAATGTGTGGGTAGTATATTGTAGTATATGTACAAATGTACAATGTCCAAATAGCAAGTATAACAGTGCTGGACATACATGTACATCTGAGCAAGTCATATATACATTTAGTATGGCACTCTAGCTACTGTATGTGTAGGATACTGTAGTACAATGTCCAAATAGCAAGTATAACATTGCTGGACATACATTTGAGTGAGTCATATATTACATGTGTCTACATGCCAAATCGAGCATAGCACTGTTTTACACAATCAAATTGCAGGCTGACATGAAGGCAGCTGTTGCTGGTGTTGTGTCCCACACATAGAAACAAATACAGGACAGGACAATAGTCATTTTCACTTGAGTTAGGTGGGGAAAGACATGTTAAGTGCCTTTCTGAAGGGCACAAGATCGGTGGCATGTCAGGACTCGAACCCGGGACATCTTCACAGCCTCACCATTCATTCATTCACAACAAGAACAACGACAAGGACTCACCGCTGGCTCAGTGTCTGTTCCGTCCCGTATGGAGAACACCTCGGCCAGGTTGTCACCATTCATTCATTCACTTGCTCACTCACTCATTTATTCATTCATTCACAACAAGAACAACAACAAGAACTCACCGCTGGCTCAGTGTCTGCTCCGTCCCGTATGGAGAACACCTCGGCCAGATCGTCACCATTCATTCATTCATTCACTCATTCATTCATTCATTCATTCATTCATTCATTCATTCATTCATTCATTCATTCATTCATTCATTCATTCATTCACTCACTCACTCACTCACTCACTCACTCACTCACTCACTCACAACAACAACAAGAACTCACCGCTGGCTCAGTGTCTGCTCCGTCCCGTATGGAGAACACCTCGGCCAGGTCGTCCCCTTTCATTCATTCACTTGCTCACTCACTCATTTATTCACAACAAGAACAACAACAAGAACTCACCGCTGGCTCGATCTGTGTCTGCTCCGTCCCGTATGGAGAACACCTCGGCCAGGTCGTCCCCTTTCATTCATTCACTTGCTCACTCACTCATTTATTCACAACAAGAACAACAACAAGAACTCACCGCTGGCTCTGTGTCTGCTCCGTCCCGTATGGAGAACACCTCGGCCAGGTCGTTCCCTTTCATTCATTCACTCGCTCACTCACTCATTTATTCATTCATTCACAACAAGAACAACAACAAGAACTCACCGCTGGCTCAGTGTCTGCTCCGTCCCGTATGGAGAACACCTCGGCCAGGTCGTCCCCTTTCATTCATTCATTCACTCGCTCACTCACTCACTCATTTAATCATTCATCCACAACAAGAACAACAACAAGGACTCACTGCTGGCTCAGTGTCTGCTCCGTCCCGTATGGAGAACACCTCGGCCAGGTCGTCCCCTTTCATTCATTCATTCACTCGCTCACTCACTCACTCATTTAATCATTCATCCACAACAAGAACAACAACAAGGACTCACCGCTGGCTCTGTGTCTGCCCCGTCCCGTATAGAGAACACCTCGGCCAGATCGTCCCCGGCGCCAGACTCTCCCTTCTCCTCCTTCTGTAGCTTCCGCAGGTTCTCGTTCCGCAGGTGCTTCATGGAGCGGACATGCTGGATCAGGTTTAACTTCGCCTGGGGAAAACATGGGAAAAATAGGAAGTTAGGGATGGCAGACTTCACCCCCTTATACCCACACTAACACACAGCTAACACATGAGTACAGGTGCTTCATGGAGCGGACATGCTGGATCAGGTTTAGTTTCGCCTGGGGAAAATATGGCAGTCAGGGATGGCAGACTTCGCACCCTCACCCACAATGCCTCATAGCTAACACATGAGTACAGGTGTTTCATGGACCGAACATGCTGGATCAGGTTCAACTTCGCCTGGAGAAAACACAAGGAAAACATCGCAGTCAGGGATGGCAGACTTCGCACCCTCACCCATACTAACACAGGTGAAACATGGAGCGGACATGCTGGATCAGGTTCAGCTTCGCCTTGTGAAAACACAAGGAAAAACATGGCAGTCAGGGATGGCAGACTTCACCCCCTCACCCATACTAACACAGGTGCTTCATGGAACGAACATGCTGGATCAGGTTCAACTTCGCCTGGGGAGAACACAAGGAAAAACATGGCAGTCAGGGATGGCAGACTTCACCCCCTCACCCATACTAACACAGGTGCTTCATGGAGCGAACATGCTGGATAAGGTTTAGTTTCGCCTGGGGGAAACATGGGGAAAAACATGGCAGTCAGGGATGGCAGACTTCGCACCCTCACCCACAATGCCTCATACTAGCTAACACATAAGTACATGTGTTTCATGGAGCGAACATGCTGGATCAGGTTTAGTTTCGCCTGGGAAAAACAAAGGGCGAAAGAACAAGGAAGTTAGAGATGGCAGACTTCACCCCCTTTACATAGCAAACACATGAGTACAGGTGTTTCATGGAGCGAACATGCTGGATCAGGTTTAACTTCGCCTGGAGAAAACACAGGAAACACATCATTAGATAGCTTTAAACAATGTTTAGAGTCAGATGTTCAAGGGGTAGGTGTAACAAGTCGTTCGGTGTGATGTAGCCAGCTGCCGCCGCGCTGCGTGCCTGCGAAGTTGGTGTGTTATAAGAACGGTTATACTGGCTATACAGATACAGATACAGTACAATACACCCATACTGAGGCAGTCAAGAGCCAAACTGCCTCATAGCTAACACATGAGTACTGGTCAGTCATGGGGAAAATATGAACTTTCATGCTAGTATTGTTTGTTTATTCTTTTGCTTGTTTGTTTGTTTGTATCACATGATTATGACTCATAGCCTAACGCACAAGGATACAAAAAATCTTTTAATATTAGGAAGAGGAAACATTTATGGTTTCAAGAGCCCCAATACCTCAGTATCTTATGTCAATAGGAATAAAACATGAACTCCCAGGCTTGGTTACCGTATTTTGCACCTTCTGGTGCCTTCATTAGCCAGCTTTTTTGTCTCCAGGAAGAAATCCTGAGTCGGGTAAACTGATTAGGGTATCGGATCCTTCTGGTGTCCGTGATCAAAAAGCGCGAGGAAATTGGCTGCGTTTGAAACCTTGATGAACGCTTCAAAGACCGAATCAACCAGTGTTAATAAGCACCCTTTCATAATGCCAGCTGATACCAGCACTGGTGACAAGCACTGCCATCTTACCACCTTAGGGCTCTAGTCAGCAAGATTTTTTTTTCTGGCAGCCCAGGTTCGTGATGTTCGCAATCTAGGGGGTCCGGGGACAAATTTTGGATTCTCAAGCCTTAAAAAACGCAATTGCGCACATTTTGAGTAGCAAATCATGGCGTTGAAAGTGGTTGGTGATGGTCCTTTGGATATTTTAATATTTTTTCCCAAGATTTTTGTCAATTTTTGTCTGTCAAGGAAACAAATAATCACACAAACCAATAAGACTTTGGGTGCAAAGATTACGCTATAGTAAGGACTGATAAATAAACGATTTTCTATGCCAGAATCAGAACTTACGCTGGTCACAACTTTAGCTTGGAGATAATCACCTTGCTACTGAGGTTTTGCATGTATAATTCGCTTCATTTCTTTTCCCGAACACGGCGGAAATTTGATCATATCGGAAATGATATCTAACATATATTAGGACTATCTAAAGGTACGTGTATAATGTAGTTTTTGTGTGTAAATTCTCTGGCTCACACCTTATATAACATTTTACCAGTAAAGAAATTAGCCAAGATAGAATTTGAGTATCGAACAGGAGATGTAAATCTTTTAGTGGGGAAGTAGATCTTCTACATCAGCGTTTGTCAAACTTCACTCAGCCGAGACGGGGGGTGATACAGGCTTTTAGTGACCTTTGACCCATAACATGTCACATGACTTCATGAATGGGTCATCATATTTGAAGAAGACCAGAGATTTTGCCTTAAGTTTATACATAAGTTACAATAATTTTCTTGGTCTAATTTATTCCAAATCCCTAGTATCGGATTGGTTATTCTATGTAGTAAATCCATCCTGTCCCATAGCATACTGATGTCTGTGAGACAAAAATGTGATGTCACTAAAGGAAAAACAATTGCTTGCTTTGTAGTTTGTAAAAGCTATTTATGGGTGGTACCCAAAAAGAGATGCCTCACATGGCTTGTTTGTTGGGCACTTGTCAAACACTTGACAAAAATGTGTCAGTAAATGTCAATGTCATACAGATTACATGTACCTCATCCAGAATAGTTTGTTTTGCTGCCATGAAATTGCATTGAAGATGCCTTTATCTATCAACAAAGGTGAGTTTACCTTGCTGGAGTAGTTGCACATGCTACAGTGGTAGAACTTGGAGTCAGAGTTGACGGTGATGTCAGCATTCTGCAGATGTTTGAACAGCTTCAGACTCGTCTCGTGCCTGCAGAGAGGGAAGAGAAGATTGCACGATGAAGGAATTTTACTTCAACATTTCCTGATTTCAGGGACCAAAATATAGCTCACCTGAGTGTAAATCTCGAGGTTGATTTTTTCCTTTTCAATGAAGCATGAAGGGTCTCACTGGGTGGTATTATGATCCATTGGGTAACAGAGAGCCTTCACACAAAATATCAAATGAGTACATTGCAGGTTCAAGTAGTAAAAGGATAGAAGAATATTCTAAAGTGCTCTGCTCAGTCCAAAATTAATCTGCTTAATGTTAACTGTTTTCCTGTGTCACACGTTTCAACATCAAAAACTTGGCCAAACCAGGACAAAAGACACAAAAACCGTAAGTGCTGCTGCAGTACCAAGCAGAGTCACCAGGAGGCCCAAAATTGACCTTGATCCACACCCACATATCTTCTTACATAATCATCATCTTCTTACATAATGCTTACAAAGTTTAACCGAAACCAAACTCAGACACACACACCGAAAATGTCATGTCTGCTTCCACAAAGGTATTAAGCCTTTTTTTATTCTCTGTGACGTCCACAAAAACGTCACCAACCCTGACACCTGCGTTGACTTGCCAGAGGTCCGCCCACCAGTTTGGCCAACAGTGGGATCCCCCCTCCCACCTGGGCCATTAAAAGATTAGTCACACGGCAGAACATGGATGGATTAATGTCAAACAGCCACCACTTAGACATTGACAGGCCACTTTCATTACCAACGCACACAGTGAAATTTCAAGTTTACTTGAAAACAAGACTTAGTCTAAGTCTTGAAGTTTTTTTGCTACCGTAACTCCTTTTTTGGGGTATGATTTTAGGACAAGACTTATTATCTAACAGAATGTCAAACAGCCAGCACTTAGACAGGGACAGGCCAATTTCACTGCCAATGCACGGGGATGAAATTTTCCTTCAAAGTTTACCAGAAAACAATTCTCCATGTTTTTTCCTACTCCTTTTTAGGGATATGATTTCAGGGCTAGTTATCTAAGAGAACATAAATGACAAACAGCCACTATAATTAAGGTCCTCTTCGAAGAAGCATGTCTTTCATATTCTTCAAAACAACTTTTCAAGTTGCTTTCCCCTTTTCCTGTGTGAATAAAACTTTTAGGTAATACGACAGAAAAAGACTGAAGATACAGCTTGTTTTCATTTCTACTGGAAGAGGATAAATCTTCTTTGAACTTCAGCATATGTTCCTTCTTCCAACTTTTCAAATTGTTTCCTATTTCTACATTGTGAATGAAATCATTTTGTGCAATACAGATCATAAATGACATCAACTCATAACTTTGACAGATATGGACCGATTTCATTACCATTTAACAGTCTGAGACAAGGACAAAAATCTCATCCTTCCAACTTCACCACATATTCTTCAACTAACACTGGTCACCTCAATTTTGGAATGTCACTTTCCGAATTTGGAGACAGCTATGTTGAAACCCCTGATTTTCAACTTTGTTATTCCTGGATGTACAGTGAACTTTTGCATGCCATTGGAAAGATCATGCTATCTTCAGTACCAGGTTGCTTTTTTTATGGTCAGAATGTACAAATTTATCAAGATATTTGACTTTAAAAATTGCAAGCCTGGCGGTCTAGAACACACACCGTCATGCCCAGCAGCTTAGCCTGGCAGTCCTAAACTTTAGCCCGCGGCCTGAGTTAGCCAGCCCGCATCCAGACCGCATCCAATTAGCCCCATGAACACCCCATGAAAACCACTGAATTAATGAGAATTCACATTTTCACACCTGTGTAATTAACAAGTTTGTGATAAATTCATGAGAGGTCTGGGCTCAATGGTTAGCCCGCGGGCCTGAACAGGCCTGTCGGTCTGTGGACAGGCTGGGCTGATGATTAGGCCTTATGATAGAGAACCTTCAGACTTTAACCACCAAACAGAAAGTGGGAAACAAAAATATGCTTCCAAATTGATGCTTCCAGATTGATGATGGTTTACACTTCACTTCATATCACTTCATATTAATAAACACCCTTCACATTTTCAGCTAATATTTTCAATAAGTGATTACATATTATTGTGTCATTGTCATTGTCATTATTGACAAGTATGATGTACAGGTATGAATGATGATAACTTTCATGAATATTCATTTTGAACATTTTCTGCAAAAGCTTCAGAAATTTCTACTGGAAGAATTTTTCCTGTACATGGGAAGAATTGTTCTGCTATTAAGACTGCAAAAAGTCTCTTTCTAGTAGAAAGCTTTTTGAACATGTTTGAGGAGGTGGATTTTGCTCCTGCTGTGCTACCTGGGCTGATACCTGGGTGGGTGTAACATTTGTGTAACGGTTATGACTAAAAAAGATCAGATAGCATCATAAAAGACCCTTGTCTCAGCAAGAACACTTCATATTAGACCTGATTGGTTGTGGTGTTGGAAGCCAACTTTTGAGGACACTTCATGGTCACTTAGTTTCTGTTTGGCAGGTATAGTCCAATCTGTCCTACTATGGATGGGCAACTCCCCTGGCCAAATCCCTTTGAAACATCATGGGGGTAGAAATTTATCTTTTTTTTTAAAGAATTAAGACTTGGCTAAGTACAGGTCACAACAAAACAAGATGAATGGACATGGTTAACAGATAAACAATAACTCCATGGAAACATTTAAATCAAAAGGAAAACATTTGGAGTTTTAGTGCCATAATCCTGCCATGTATAAGCCTCAGCCGATGTACACTGAAAACATAAAAAGCAAGGAATCGATCCTCAATTTGCAACATGAACTTGCTTTCAGTGCAAGGAGTTGTACAATGCTTTAGGAAATTCATGTTACATTTTCTTTTGTAATTATTCTGTTCCTGCACCTTTGTCATGCGGGTCATACCTCAGGTCACCTATTGTTCCAGGCATGCAAATGACCACTGTCCAATTATCAAATTAGAGAGTCTGGTCGGGCTACCCTGACATGGGTGCACTGGCACTGGCTCAATAGCCCGAAAAAATATCCTATCAGAAAATCTCATGACATTGTAATGACAGTGTCAGATGGCATGGGTTCACACGCTGAGAACCATGTCTTGGCCAAATCTTTCTATCCCACAACTAGTTTGTAGTGTCATGATTAGATTAGATTTAGATTATGAACAAAAAATTAATGATGAGAATCTTTACAGGATTTGTAATAAGTCTAAATTACAATTTAAATTGGAAGTGCTTGCCCAAGGCCTAGAGTCAATTCTATATTGCTATATTCCACATTACAAATTGTAACCATTTCGAAAAAACACAATGTTTCTAGATAATTTCAAAGTATGATTTAAAAAAGTAGAAAATTTTCTAATTGTTACAATATTTGTGAAACATCTCAAATAGGTTATATATATAATGAAAAGAGCTGTTCATTCAGTTTGGATATTTCCCAAAAATTTAGGAACAGAACGTAAAATGCTTGTACAGCGCAGGATGTACATGTATGATAGCAGACCAGGTAGCCTGGGTGTAAGAAACAGGGGCAAGCTGTAGCGCCTATAACCCCCCCCCCCCNCCTTGGCTCCTGGAGGGCCAACATTTGCCCAAGGAAATGTCACCATAGAGTGATAATAGACATCCCTCAATAAGCCTATGAATTACATTGTAAAGGCTTGTTATCCCCTAGACACAAAGAACACAGTTTCTTTAAAAATGGGTGACAAAAGGGGAGGGGAGGTGATTATGATAAAATTAACAAGTTCTAACTTCCATGCAACAACTTGAAGTTAGTCTCCAGTCAGAATCTGATCAATGTTAGACGTGTTTACAACTGCAGAAAGGGGATGCTTTTGCTTCCAAAGCAAAAGCATTCATTGAGTTATCAGACTGCATGAATTGTCATGACATACAAAAAATCAGATGATCATTGATCAATTACTAAGGTGACCTTGAGAGAATATTGATGTAATGTTGTAATTTTATAGAACAGGATTCTTCTTCAAGTGAATGAGTCTGAGAAACAAGTAATGACATTATATTTAGTCTCTATGGCCGGCCAACTCCTCTGGCCAATGATGTTCCCCTTCGCCATGGAGCTACCTCCATGCCTTAGCCGATTGCTACTGTTTATTTAGCCTGCAAAGGAGTCTGGTGGAGACTACATTACATGTATATTGGTGTGGCCTAACAGTTGTATATATTTATTATACAGTCATTCCTGCCGAAATTTCTAGGAAGGATTCTATCTGCAGGAATCTACAATGTCTTAGTAGGTTTTTCCTACTAAGGAAGAAAATTTTCAAAATTAATTTCCATGCATGTTATCATTCATACCTGTCCAATTATCAAATTAGAGAGTCTGGTCGGGCTACTAGTACCCAGACATGGGTGACATGGTCTTTGCAGCTTGCACTGGGTAGCTCAATAGCCCGAAAAAATATCCAATCAGAAAACCTTATGACATTGTATATAATGACAGTGTCAGATGGCCTGGGTTCACACGTTGAGAACCATGTCTTGGCCAAATCTTTCTATCCCTCAACTAGTTTTTAGTATTATGATTAGATTAGATTTAGATTATGAACAAGAAATTAATGATGAGAATCCTAGTTTTATTTTTTAAGATAGTCGGTCATCTTTTCAGGCTCCTACTGGGTGACCCAGTAGTCAAGCTGCCCAGATAGGGGTACTGTAATTCGACGTGTAACTCAACAATAGTCCAACTTGATAATTGGACAGTGGCATTTGCATGTCAAGAACAATAGCTAAACTTAGTTTCATCCCGCATAACAATTGTTCCTTGATCAGAATAATTACCTGAGAACTGTTGAACCATGGTTAAACAGAAATGGACTGAGGATTTTATAACTCCATTGCTTGAAAGCAGGTTTAAGTTGCAATGCATGTACTAAGGCTTCTTGCTCATATTATATAGTACTACAATTTTGTCTGGCAAAACTGTCTGTAACATAATTTTCCCAATGTTTCAACTGAACTGAACTGAACTTCAATGACATTCAGGATGCTCATGAGAAAAAATTGCTTCATTTTCTACCCCTAGCTGGTACAGAACGTGTTTGTAAGCTCTTCTTTCTTTTTTGTGGTCTACATGTAGTGGAAAGAGCATGCGAAGCTGAGTGATTGAGTGAGTGAATGAGGTTGAAAGCAGCAAAAATGTACAACACTGTTAACAGATGGGTGTGGATCCATCCTTCCTTATTTTCTGCTCTGAGAATGAAGTTTTACACATCACTTGGATCAGACCGCGGGCTGAGATGTAGTCCGTGAGGTCTGAATCCTTACCCCACCAGGCTGAAATTGGCACAGACAGTCTGCAAACATCAATCAATTCACGCCTTCCATGCCATTGTTTTGGGCTTTTTGCACCTCTTTGACCAGAAATTCCAGACCGCGGGCTGAAGTTAGGCTGACGGTCTGAATGGTTTTTGAGTAAATCAGCCCGCGGGCTGGGATTCTACACCTGTAGTCTAGTTCCTTTAGACCGAAGGTCCTGTAATTAAAACTTGCGGGCTAGCTGTTAGGCCTGACGGGCTGTTAGGAAAGACCACCGGTCTGCTTGTATTTATTATTAATGATATCTTAAGTTATGAACACTGCAGAACAATAATTTTCATATCACTGTGCTCATTACACCAAGAACTACACACTGATGTGAAACTTGAATGTTGAAAATCAATTTTTACTTGAGTTTACAAATGCCTTGTGACTTTCCAAAATTGATGCGACCAGTGTTAACTGTTTTACATGTCCTTCTGTGTGCATGTAAGCACAAGGTACCATTAAAAGATTACCTGCATGACAGTACATGGCCAAGACAGATTGATGCAAAGCATTCAGCACTTAAAAAGCAACAGGCCAAATTCATTATCATTGAGCAAGGACAAGATTCTTAGAAGTGTTTAGAATGTCGTGTCTGTTAAAAAGGACTCCAGGAAAAATACAAATCACAAATGGAGGGTGCGATGTTAAAACAAAGAAACAATCACACAAACAAGTAAGACTGTTCTCCAACTCAAGAGATAAACTCACCAGAATTTTTTGACTGTGTAAGTGAATTTGTTTTCTTGAGTTGGAGAACAGTTTAATTCTCATTATGTATTCAACCAACTCAGATGAATTTTCATGCCGACTTTATGATATTTGTAGGTTGTACTCAATGAGGACCCTAAGGACTTCTAAGGACTAAAGGCTGAAAAATAAACAAGAATTTCTTTTCTATCACAGACTCGGGACATGTCAACTGGTTACGACTTAAGCATGTGGAGATAATCACATTGCTACTCAGGCCTTGCAAGTATAATTCTCTTAATTTCTTGGTTCGAATACAGTGGAAATTTGATCATTGAGGAAATTATATCATTCTATAGATATTAAGGTTACTTACAGCAGGGTTCTTAAAACACCTGGACGTTAATAGGAATATAGGAATACTTTTTCTTCGTCGGTGAAGGTTAGACATCCAGGTAATAAGATACGCCAAAAAGCAGTTAGTCAAGCAACTCCAAAATCATATCCAGTTGCTTGAGTAACTGCTTTTTGGCGAATCCTTTTGCTTGTTTGTTTGTTTGTTTGTTTGTGTTAAAACAAAGAAAAAGAACAAAAGGGATTCCGCGATACTTGACTAGCATTCCAAAGTTTTCATATCAAAGCCTCTGTCCTCAAAGAAACCATATCAATTTGTTTATTCATCGAGCAACATTTTTGGCCTCGCCGAGGACTGAGTAAAATTTTCCTGCGAAACATCAAAAGAATTCTCCAGACACGTAATGACAACATCAAAGAAACTCTGGAATTTTAATGTTTCGCATTGTTCAGGATAGGTAGTAATAAGTCTGCAATGCGAGTGTTACATAACATAAGAGCTAAACCGGGCGACAATGTACGTATGTATGTACATGCATGCCTAGCTGAGTCGTGTGAGGTAACAGCATGCTAGGACATAACTGTTGTATCTTGTTTCTTTTGAATGAACAGTAAACTGAGTTCAGGTGTTATACTCCAGTTTTATACAGTAAGTACAAGCTGCGTAAGACAAGACTATAAGGTTTGAACCACTCACACAGGGAAGGACCCCTTCTCTTTTCTGTAAGTGTGTTGGGTTCTTTAACATGCTTGAGGTGTTACACTCCTCAAATATAGTCCTAGTATGTTTTTTCACTTTTCCCATCCAAGAGGACATCTCTACTTGTAAACCAAAGCTAGGCTCTTTTCAACATCAACTTTCTTTCCATTTTTTCAAGCTCATGTTGTCGAACAACTTTATAAACCTCCCCTAAACCCCGCAGAGGAGACAGACCACTGCCAGTAACTGATAGGATATAGGGGTTTTCTTTTACAATGTACACAACCAGTATTGTCTCCTACCTTGCTTACGTTTCGATGTCTATCAGACACCTTCCTCAGAGCTTCTGACTGGAGCTCTGCTTCTCGCCGCTATATGTAGCCAATGTAGGTGGCACTTTTGCGGCGATTGCGCTTTTCAGGATTGTGTTCTTGAAAAAGTGCCACCTACATTGGCTACATATAGTGACAAGAAGCAGAACTCCAGTCAGAAGCTCTGAAGAAGGTGTCTGATAGACACTGAAACATAAGCAAGGTAGGAGACAGTATTAGTTGTGTAAAAGAAAACCCTTATAGCCTATACTCTACCAACCTGATGAAACTACTGGTGCAATAGCTCAATTGGTAGAGTGCTCGCTTTGTAACCGGTAGGTCGTGAGTTCTAACCCCGGCCGGGTTATACCAAAGACTTAAAAAATGGTACACACTTCTTTCTCTGCTACACACTCAGCACATACATTTGTATGAGAAAGAGTGTGGGAAGGTCAAACACACAGCACTACATGTACCAGTGGGCTAGCCCCCTACTGTAGTGATTGTACAACTGTGTGGCCCAAGGGCTACTGACTATGCATTATGTGGTTCGGGTAGGTCTTAAACTTTTTAACTTAAACTTCCACAAAGGAGACAGACCAAATGAATGTCAGCAACTGAGTTGCAGCAGCCTGAGTTCCAGCGAAGTGATTATGTAAATCTCTATAATGATCCCTTACTTGAACTTTCTAACTTTAACCCCACAAAGGAGACGGACCACTGTCAGCAACTGAGTTGCAGCAGCCTGAGTTCCAGCGAAGTGATTATGTAGATCCCTATAATCTGCACGGACCGGCTGATTCGTCTAATGGACGTTAATTCTGGCACCCAAGCCGTCGTATTACCCAACATCAAACAAAACTGCGCGCCCTTAATTTACATCTAGGTGGATGTTTCAGGCTTATTCGTCTCCATTAGCATCACATTTGCCTCCAATAAACGCATTTGTATTAGTTACTTAAGCAGGGACAAAGAGACGATGCTTACTGTCTTAATTTGACATTTCCTGGTGGAGGCAAATTATAATTTCGGAAAGACCAAAACTGTTGGAGCTGTTTTGGGTAAGGAGGGGAGATGGGGCTGCTTCATAATGTCAATCAAGGAGTGTCGATCGAGTTTATGCGAAAAATCCATCATTAATATGCAGTAATATATCTACATCTGTATCTATATCACATAAACCATCTCATATTGGGCCAAAGCAAATAAATTTGTGGATGACATCCTCTGTGGACTCCCAACTCCCGACTTTGGGGAAAAGCAAGATGACTAAATTTTGACGATATTCGGTCAAATTTGGTCTGAACAACCAGTCACTGAACTGTGGAAAAATCAGCATAACGTACTGCACCTGTGCAAAAGTTGTAATGTATTGTGCAAAAAGCACTTCCATAGAACATCTCATTTAAGGTCACATTGGAGTACTTAGTATCTAAAGTTCTAATACTTCTCAAATGTTGTGTTGAAAAAGACACTGTCTGCAACAGGCAAAATTATCATACAACATCTGACGAAAATCACGAAGAATCAGAGTTTCGCGTAGGCACAGTACGTTTGCGTAGGCACAGTACATCCATGCCCGGTGCTTGCTAAGTTGACCTCTGACCTCACCTGTGATTGGACACGTGGGCCCGCAGCTTGTCGACCCCGTTGGTGTAGTAGTCGCAGGCATTGCACTTGACCTGGATAGGGTTCCCCACGTTCAGGTACTTCAGTCTGAAACAACAAAGGACAGGAATCTGTTAGCTAGATTTCTTCATTTTTTTGTATTCCAACGTACATGTAACCACAAGACATGGTGAGGACACATTCAAGTTTTTCCAACTTATTTCAATGCCGCCACCAACAGGGGACAATACAATACTCATTTACACCTGAGCAAAGTGAGGAAAGTTGTGTTAAGTGCTACATCATTTTGCAGTCAAGGCAAACTGGCTGGTTTCTCCATGACTTCTCATTAGTTATCATCAATAATCAACATGATGGAAAATGATGTGGTCACCATGGGCAGGTATCAGGCCTTGAGCCGACCCAACTCAGGGCGGTCGCGGTCGCGTTGGCCAGGTGGTCACCTTGGACAGGTTCCTTAATGCGTGTCAATGGGGAAAATTTTTGGGTCCGGGAAAAAGCGGTCACCATGGACAGGTGGCAAGCTTGACGAGATAGTCTCCTTGGCAGGTTTGACTGTTTAACCAGGGCAACAGCCCCCATCCCCACCCAGTAAGACCCAGTACATGTATACATGCCAGGTGCAGGTCCGCATCCCTAACTCCCCACTAATCCAACCTAGGATGGGCAATATTGTTGACTTTCTTTGGATGCCCTCCTTGGTTGCCCAATATCGCAATGGACAACATGTATAAGGCTTAGGAGAAAAAATGTGTTTCCTGTTTCAGTCCTTAAAACCTTAGGGTCAGTAGGTAAGGGATTATCTTTTTTTCTTTCTTCTTTTTTTCTAGACTTTGGCGATCTCTATATCACAAAAGACAACGTAGAGCGTAACCAGGTTGCCCGGTGTACAACCAGTACAGCCCCTACCCCACCCAGTAAGACCCTAACATGCCAGGTGCAGGTCCGCATCCCTAACTCCCCACTAATCCAGCCTGGGATTAGTGCACTGCAGAGTGGATTAGCGTCACAAACTGGTATCAGGCATAAATCTTCATTAATCCTTAGACTTGATGGATGCCTTAAAGATCGCCGAGACGCGGGAGTTCGGAGTCATTTTCATTAAGGAGCTAAGCCGTAACCATTACAGTGGCAGGGGGATCATTAGGGATGTCAGATCTGAGCCCAAACGTTCTAAAACGTCCTGGAACAAGATTTTACTTTGATAAGCCATACCTCATTTGGGACTTTAAAAAAAAACGCGATTTCCCGCATTTTTAAAGACGTTATCATATTTTACCCAAGATTTTTGTTGATTTTGTCTGTTAACGTTGACGGATTGGTTTTTAACAGTTGCTGTCACACGCCACAAAGTTATTGGTAATTGACGGAAAAACTGGTGCTGGCTAGAGACCTGCCTCTGTAACAGACAAAGTTCCTAGATGGTACCAAATACACAAGCTATGGAAGGCATTTTTTCGTAACAGGGCAATCAGAGATGGCAGACTTCACCCCTTTTACACAATCATTATGCTTTGCGACCCTTCTAGTTCTAGAAAGCAAAGATAGCAGCACTGACAACATACAGCAATGCTGCATTGTGTATGTTGGGAATCACAGAAATGTTCAACGACTTTTGCGCTTAAAATCAAATACAAACATGTAAATGCATTGATGAATGGCAAAACTGTAATAAGTAGGATGGAAAGTAAGATTAGCATTTTAGGGTTTAATCAGAACTAGAATGGTACATGTACGTGTAGCTGTTTTTTTTTTCCAGACAGGAAAAAAATTGAGGACTAAGAAATTAAATCGATGTGGCCTTACACATCAAACCCATCTGAAAACCACTCCAGGAAGAGAAAAAAGACAACAGGAAGGCACAGAAAAACTATTGACCTTTTCATCTGACAAAGGTACGTCAAATAAACACATAGGTGGGCGATTAACGGCATTTAACGCACACTCCCGCCTTCCCCTCCCGCTTTGCCTTCCTGGAAAAAACCTTACGGTACCACTTAGAAGTAATTGAGACCAAAAGAGGTACTTAATGTCTTAGATCATGCTAAGACTCGGGAAAAATCGTGGATAAAAAGACAGTCTCGTGGAGAGATTACCGACTGATTTTGTTTCATTCCCCACCAAACGTCTGAGGAACTTCAATCAGTGCTGATCATCGTTGACATTTACGTGCTTTACGGTTTGTTGTGGGGTAAGCTGTCTGCGTAAGTGCTTAACTCCTCGCTGCACACGTACGCAACTCTACTCAAACACAAGCAGGCACGACAAACGTACGAAAGGTTTTCATTTCTGTTATGTAAATGTTACAAAAGTACGTCTGTTGACACAGGTAGGGGTAAACCACTACTGTCAAGGGGTGGGTTTAGTGAAGACTGCACTGCAAAAATGAAACTCCCCTACATAAATGTACAGATGAGACACATTATAACTACACACGTATGCAACTCTACTCAAACAGACCAAAACATGTTGAACGTTCGCAGGTTCGACAGGTTTTTATTTCTGTTGTGTAAATGTTACAAAAGTGCGTCTAACGTCTGTTGACACAGGTAGGGGTAAACCACTACTATCAAGGGGTGGGTTAAGTGAAGAGTGAAGACTTCACAGAGACAAAAATGAAACTCCCCTATATCAATGCAGCGCTAGATGAGTAACAAACAGACCAAAACATGTTGAACGTTCGCAGGTTCGACGGGTTTTCATTTCTGTTGTGTAAATGTTACAAAAGTGTGTCTAACGCCATGTGCAGGGGTAAACCACTACTATCAAGGAGTGGGTTGAGTGAAGAGGCACTGCAAAAATGAAACTCCCCTACATTAATGCAGAGATGAGTACTATACTTTCCTAGAACAAAGGAGAACAACACCAAAATCTAAGGAAAATTATTACAGGTAGGGGTGAAAAATGATGATAAAATGTCATTTTTTTAGAAAAATGACAAAGCAACAAGACAAGGTGAAACCAGAGGAGGGCTGTGAGAAAAATTAATCTTTCCAGCACCCCCTTCTTTGACCAAGAATGGTTCACCCCCACCCGTGAGCCAGTACTTATGATTGATGGGCTGACAGGTGTCCCTCACGCGGCTCAATCCACTCCAGGTTTTTATCGGTGCTCCCACCAGGCTCCGACCGCCCAACAGGATTACACGGCTGGCTCATTTGCATACCGGCGGGGTCGCGGGGGTCGGCCCGTTGTTCTAATTGATCTGGGGGTAATGAGATGCCGCTCATTCCCGGCGACGAACACAATTGGCTGTAATAAAGGGAGCTGTCACTCAACAGACTTTTTCTGCAGTCTGCAGTTCCCGTTTCTGTGTTCCCCTCTCTTATACTCATAGAACTGTATTAGCATGTCATAATCCCTGAATGGATATAGGATACAGAAGCTTGGACTGTTTCAAAGTCAGAAAACGGGGGTGACTGGTAAAAAAATTTGTCCAATCTACCAAGAAGACCACTAAGTGTTGGCTGTAATAAAGGGAGCTGTCACTCACCAGCGTGTGCTGAGGAGACTTTTTTCTGCAGTGTGCAATTCCTGTTTCTCTCTCATAGTTTTAGAAGTCCTAATCCAGTGTTGTACCTATACAGGTACTGGTCTTTCCCCTTACCCTAATCCATGAATGGATATTCAGTTGGACTGTTTTGAACTAAGAAAATGGGGGGGGGTGACAGATACAGACTTATAGTACAGTCAAAACTACTACTCACAGGATTGAGCAAATCTGTTCAATGAAAAAAATGATCAAAGTGATCCCCAAAAAGTACACACTGGCCAGGTGGTCCTTATGTACAGGTGGTGACTAGTCATGTTTGTATTTCTCAATACACAAAAAAGTGACCGTTTTCCCCCATTCCTGCCACCCCCATTCCCAGTGGTACAACCCGACATGATCCCCAAACAGGTGCTCAAACTTGGACGGTTCCAAGTGAAAAAAAGGGGTCGCCCTTTGAGAGTTTTCCTAGCAGGGCACATCCAACATTTTAAGAAGGCACATCCCATTTCAAGGTTGAATTTTTGTCCACCCCAGGACTACCCTGTCAAACCATAATCCTAACTAAACAAACCTGTACAAGCAAGAGCTGATCACACCTCACAAACTGGGAACATAAAAATGACCCAACTACGCCTAAGACTCATTTTGCCCAGAGCTAATTGAGGACGAATATACTTTTTGATTGTATGTCCTAAATATATAATTGATGTATGCAATTCACCACATGCTAGAATATCAGCTTCTATTTCAACATTTACCACAATGGACTTGATAAACAAATTCAAATACATAATGACTTGTGACAACCCCTGCATGCTATACATAGGGATATATATACTAAAGACTGTAAAGAATATATTAGAAATTCCTCCAATGATTGTAGAAGTTCATACCTATCCCATACTAGCCACTCACTCCTGTATTGGTTAGGTTAGCATTATAAAAATGTATTTAATGTGTACTTAGTCTAGTAGATACCATACTTTGTACCCTGTGCAACTGTTGTGCAATAAAGTTATCTGTATTAGCTGTAATGTTTCAAAATCCAATGATTGTAAAAGTATACCATGCTAAAGCCACCCACTCTTGTATTAGTTAGGTTAGCCTTATGAAAATGTATTTAATATGTACTTGTACTTAGTCTAGTAAAAGTAGATGCCATACTTTGTACCCTGTACAACTGTTGTGCAATAAAGATTTCTGTATTATCTGTAATGTTTCAAAATCCAATTATTGTATAAGTTCATACCTATCCTATACTAGTCACCCACTCTTGTATTAGTTAGGTTAGCCCTATGAAAATGTATTAAAATATAAATAAATAGATACCATACTTTGTACCCTGTACAACTGTTGTGCAATAATGTTATCTGTATTATCTGTAATGTTTCAAAACACTTAGAAGAAAAGATGAAACACTTTACTACACTACTTCTTTCCGGCGTTCAGTGTTTCACCCTTGACTTTTGGGTCTGGTTTTAAATCAAGGCTAAAACAAAGGTCTATGAGAACCCCTTGGCTTAATTCCATCTCCATTAAAATCCCCCGCAAAAACCAAACATGCAGGGTTTTTAATCCAAAACATGGTACAGGC